TTACAACAAGCGGGAAAACATACGTAGACATAATTTTCACGCCGTCCAACCCCAGCACTCCGCTCTCGCAGTCGCGTTCGTGAGACTAACCGTTCCTCCAGCGAGCTAATGGGGCGATAGGCTCTCGGAAACAAGAGATAGTAAAGAGGGTGGTGGAAACATCCGGCTTTGCCTCATTTTATAGATGTGACATTGTGGTCTTCCTTTTGTTGGGCAGACGGGACAATGGAAGAGGACGGTAGTATCCAATACCGATGCATGGAAATTTCCTGAATACAAGTCAGTAAATGGCTAACTTTACATATTATATGAGAATATTTCAACGAGATTTTATTGTTTTTTTGTTTGAGGCAACGGTACGACCACATATACTTCTAAGGTGACTTTACGTCCTGCTCCCGCAAGGATTTCTCCCGATTTCGGCGTTTTACATCCTTTTGAATGTCCTAGGAATGTCGTTTCTTGTAAAGATGAAGTTGGCCACTTTAATCTTTGTTCTCCAAGCTTTGTATGTAACAAGTCACCTCTGTTTGTCTCTTTGCTTTGCCAGTCGGAATGATAATACATGCCCAGCAAACGTCAACATCGTGAGCCCTATTACACTTAAACCGTGCTTTACCATGGAAGGAAAGATAAGGCGATGGATCTATAAAGGAAATAAAAGAAGTGAGAGCGTATTAATGATAAGGAGAGCAGCATCTTCTGAATCTATCTATAGTGGAAGATATGCAATTAATAAAAAAGATGCCATGTAAAACAGATCAAGCAAGCCATCCGACAAATGTGCGATGAAAGACAATTAACAATAGGAAGACCTCGACCACAGCGACAGAGGGCTGGCCTGCACTGGCCCAAAGACGATATGTCTCTTTTCATTTTCTTGCACCCACTCTTCGAACCGCTCTGACTAACTAAATCCAATCTCTAACCTCCCGCTCCGCGTACCTCCACAGCTCCTCACCGAGTGTCTCGTCCTCCGCAAACCAATTCCTTGCCCAAACTCCAACGGGTTCGTAGTAAGCCCCATTAACCAGCATCTCCTTTTCCACCCCAGTCGCCCACAAATGGTTAAGCGCGCCTTCTTCCTCATTCACCAACAACGGACTCGCCAGGGCAGTTGCATACTTAACAAGAGGATTAGAGGACTTGGTTGCCGAGTACAAATTGGTCATGATTAGACCTGGATGCAGAGATACAGAGGTGATTTGCGGGTAGAGGCGAGCTAATTGCGCTGCGAGAACGACGTTGCCGGCTTTGGAGCAGCCGTAGCGTGTCCAGGTGTTCTCAGATAACAGCTTCCTTGTGGATGTCATGACCTCCAGAGGATTGTGGGCAGGGGCTAGTTGCCAGGCTAGTGATGAGACTGAGATCACGCGTACGTCTGCTGCCGCCTGTTGAGGAGTACCAGGGGCTTTTGCTGTTTGGATGAGGATTGGTAAGAGGAGTTTGGTGAGGAGGAAGTGGCCGAGGAAGTTTGTGCCGAATTGGATCTCGTAGCCGTCTTCTGTAGTGCCCGGAGGCACGGCCATTACACCCGCGTTGAGCATTAAGATATCGAGTCTGTTATTTTCAGATCTGAGTGGACGCGCTTTGGGGATAGACTGAAATGACGAGAGGGCTAGGGGGAGATAGCGGATATCGGTGGTTGAGATTTGCTCTGTGGGAGAGAGGACTTTATATCTT